TTTTATAACATATTTATGTTATAATTTTCGAATAAATTACATTTGCTCTACTCTGTATTCAGCACTCTTTTAAGAATAATATTTATATATTTTTTGGTTATTGGAATTTATTCCGTATACACAAATCCTATACTTGGGGATATATATATATATATATATATATATATATATATATATATATATATATATATATATATAAAAAGGCTTAAACACTAATATTCCATTGGAATCGTAAATTTTCTGAAAATATACATGCGTATGTATATTTTCCACTAATATCATCTATCTATCTATCTATCTATCTATCTATCTATCTATATATATATATATATATATAAAGGTTGTCAAAACCGGAGGGTGGTAGTGGGGACTAGCTCCAACTATCTGTAAAATGCTCCCATGGCATGCATCTCAGACATCCTCTAACAACTAAGTCCAGCTCTAAACCGAAGGTGAGGAAGCGGACTACCGGCGACTCATAACCAGCAGATTCGGATAGATCGGGCTCGTCAGGCTGAAAAACGAATCTGTCTAGGCGAAGAAAAGCCCTGACTTTAAACCTCCGCTGCTTTGCAGTTATATGCAATACAGGGAAATGGAAGTAAATCTCGATAGAAAATTCAGAATGTAGCCCCTTAGGTGTTTGATTATATACACTGACAGTCTTCCGGCAACTCATTCAGTTTAGCCGGCTCCAAACGTAATGCTCTGTGTTCCTTTGTCAGTACAACCTAGAGGAGGCGCATGTAGCCTGGAAAGCGCACAGCCTTCCTATACTATCGCCCAGGCATACGTCCTGGACACTATAGTCATACTACCACAGGAATAAATTTTAACCAAACTGGCAGCTACTATTATCTCACAAGATAAACGGATGCCTCCTACTACTATTACCTATATATAGTAATATATTATATGGGCACTATATATATATATATATATATATATATATATATACAGAGAGAGAGAGGGGGGACAGTATAATATATTGTTTATACGTTATCTTAATGTTAACTAGACATTTCTCTATGGCTAAGTGTTATAGCACGTCAGATCAAATGATGGTTTCTGTATAGGACTCAGGTTCGATTCCCGTTGGAGATCGCATATTTTCTATGAAATTTCTCGAACATTCAGGCCGGTAAATCTGATTAATACTGTTTAATTAAAAAAAAACAGAGCATTTACTTAAATAAATTGTATCTATTAAAATAACGTATTGAACATTGAAGACAACACTCAGAGGCAACAGTTTGTTTCATGCTGGACGCAATCGCCAGGCCGCGAATGCTGGATTTTACCTCAACTATTTATATATATGGGTCAGTGGTGCATTATGGGTAATCTATTCTGGCGTTTATTTTTGCGGGAGTGGCTTGTTTATTTATTTGTTTGGGTTAATTTATTTTACTTGCTTTTCATTTTCATTTTGGATTATTCTTTTCGTTTTTTGATGTTTTATTAACGTAGCAAAAAAAATGGGTGGGGATTTACTTAGGTCGCTTATTTAATAGTTTGTTTAATAGTTTATTTAATAGTTTAATAGTTTAATAGTTTGTTTAATAGTTTAATAGTTTAATAGTTTATTTAATAGTTTGTTTAATAGTTTGTTTAATAGTTTAATAGTTTATTTAATAGTTTAATAGTTTATTTAATAGTTTGTTTAATAGTTCAATAGTTTGTTTAATAGTTTAATAGTTTAATAGTTTATTTAATAGTTTAATAGTTTAATAGTTTATTTAATAGTTTGTTTAATAGTTTATTTAATAGTTTGTTTAATAGTTTGTTTAATAGTTTAATAGTTTATTTAATAGTTTGTTTAATAGTTTATTTAATAGTTTGTTTTCGTCTGGGAAGATAAAGGTATTTATTCGTCCAATGTTTAGATTGCTTGCCGTAGTCTATTCTGTTATTTTGGCGGGTAGACAGTTTTATTTATTTGGATTGATTAGTTTTACTTGTTTTTGCTTATTTATACTTATTTTTATTAGTTCTAACGGTTATTTTAGCGGGGGCGATTTGTTAATTTGTTTATTTATTTATTCATTTGGATTAATTTTTATTAGTTTTTTTATTTATTTACTTATTTTTTATTTTGTATATTTTTATTTATTATTTATTTAGTAATTATCTATCTATCTATCTACCTATCTATCTATCTATCTATCTATATCTATATATATATATATATATGTGTGTGTGTGTGTGTGTGTGTGTGTGTGTGTGTGTTCGTATACACATGAGTAAGGATCGGCTGATTATCTATGTGCTTTCTTTTAATTACAAGATTAGCAGCTATGTTTCATGTTAATATAGCTAAATATATTCACAAAGTGCAATTTCTTTTCTTGTAATTCCCGCATTACTCGCCTCTGGAACTTGTTATGATACTATGGACACCCACGTAGAAAGGGAAGAAATGGTTTTATCTTGATTTCAAGTGTTTCTGTTTGATAGTTCTTTTTGAAGTTATGTCTTCAAAGCGGTATCCACTTTGGCTGAAGGATAATGAGAAGTAACTGAATGAATGAGGGATTATTGGAGATCAAGTGGCAACAAAACTTGAAATAGGGTGCATCCAGGTGCTAGTCTGTATCAGGCTCGGAGAAAGTTCTGGACTGCCCTTTATTCGTGTGCTTCCCGTGCCGTCTATCAATTGCCTGAATATTCTAGAAATTTTGAAGAAAATATGCGTTCTCCAACAGCAATCGAACCTGTTTTCCTATACAGAAACCGTCATTTGATCTGACGTGCTGTACCATTCAGCTACAGTGAAGTCCGAATCCCTATTTATTAACACACAGATAAAAATCGTCGAAGATTGTATGTTTATAAACAGTAAATCGGACTTTGCTAACCAGACGCTTCTCTGTAGCTAATTGGCACAGCACGTCAGATCAAATGATGGTTTCCGTATAGGAATACAGGTTCAATTCTTGTCGAAGAACGCATATTTTCTACGAAACTTCTCGAATATTCAGGTCGGTAAATGCAATTAAAAATGTTTAATTAAAAACAGAGCTTTTACTTAAATAAATTGTATCTATAAAACCAACGTATAAACAAAATATATTGAATATGGATATATGTATATAGAGATCGCCGTATAAATACCTCCCACTTAATGGTAAGACATTAGTAGCAATAGTGTCACCATCAAACTGACGTCTTACCATTATGTGGGAGGTATTTCTACCACACCCTGTAAAATAAATATTATTGTTGTATTATCTTAAGTGTGTGTGTGTGTGTGTATACATATATATGTGTGTATGTGTGTATGTATATATGTATGTATCTATCTATATATGCATGTGTGTGTGTGCGCGTGTTTTCTAAAGAATTAATTTCTTTTTGTGACACAGGGCAGATCATTACTGTTCTCTTGAGTACAAAAACTCGTACACGAAATAAATATTGTTTAAACTAAACGGGGCGTCTAATCAAATACGGGTATCCACTAAAAGTAAAGTTTGAAATAATAATAATAATAATAATAATAATAGTATGTATGTATGTATGTATTTATAATAAAATGTATTTTAAGCTATCCTATATTTATAGGGTAAAAATGCTCAGCATCCTTAATAATGAGTACATAATTATGTGGACACAGAGTTCAACTACGAATGGCGACAGTCTATTTCATACTTGAACGCAATCATCAGGCCAATATATATATATATATATATATATGTGTGTGTGTGTGTATATATATATATATACACACGTACACACACCCACACACACACACACATATATGTATATAACAAAAATAAATATTATTGTTTTATACGCCTATATATTTATATATATATATGTCTATATTTATATATATATATATATATATATATATATATATGCATAAATATCTAAAGAAGTAATGGATGTTTTTTTTTAAAACATTACTTTTAGTGGTTACTCATTTTAAGCAGAGGCTCCGTTTATTTATTAAACAGCATGTATTTTTTATTTTCGTCTACCGGCAAGAATATTGAAGAAATCTTCTTAAAGAAATATTATGCGCTGTGTTATAAATAAACGGAATGTCTAATCAAATATGAGTATCCACTAAAAATAACGTTTAAAGTGATAAAAGGCATAACTATATAAAAAAGTATTATTGTTTTATCACCTTACTTTTAAGACACACACATACACACACACATATATATATATATACATATGAATAAAAACAAAAGGAAATCTTAACCTGAGATACGTTTTACTCTTGTCTTTATTCATTGTGTCCTTTTACAAATATAGTCAATTGGAAATTTTTGCACAGACGCATACATCAAAATATATATATATATATATATATATATATATATATATAGATAGATAGATAGATAGATAGATAGATAGATAGATAAAATTATTTTATCATCTAAAAATTATCTGGACATAAAAACAGGGAAAACTGAATGTAATTTATAAGAGGAGGAATAAACATCCCACTAAATTAAACTTGACTGAATTTGCCTCAGGTTCATAAAGAAACAAGCTACCCTCTGCCCCCCCCACACACACACACATATATATATATATATATATATATATATATATATATATATATATATATATATATATATATATATATATAGAGAGAGAGAGAGAGAGAGAGAGAGATAGAGAGAGAGATGGGGATGTTGCGTATATATATGCAGAAGCGTCAAAGATAAATGGCGCCATTAGAATTAGACTATGTACATTTGTTAAAGGTCTGTCGTCTGGAAGTTTATGTGAATAAGTGATGTTATTGATCTGTATATAGGAAGCAATTACTGGCGCCGAGTGATAGATTGCGGTGTCACGAATCAAAAAGAAAAGTATCTTTTTTTTTCTTTTCCTTGACAGCAAAAGCGAGAAATGATTCTTTCGTCTGCTATTTATGATTTGATCGTTCTTCTTCTTGTCTCTTTTTGCGCTAAGCAACATTTGACTATTATACCTCTTTGGCATCGTCCCGCCATCCATTTGCATAAACCTATTTTAGCTTATGTCCATAGCACATTGAAACACCGGTTCTCGTACGATCACCGAAGTTAAGGAACGTCGAACATGATCAGTGCGTAGATGAGTGACCGTTTTGAAATAGCAGGTGCTGTAAGCTTGGATATGCGGGTGCAGTGATGGATAATGGCTCGAAATAGTTAATTAATGAGCCGAAATGAGCTGAATTTCAATTCTCCTTAGTTTCGTCATATTCCCTTCTGGGCAAATAAACTCGAGTAAAATAGTATGAATCCACATCCTGTCACCCAGTCATGGGCCAATTAATAAAAGTTGTATCACTAAGGCAAGGCAGCTATGGCCAAATTGACAAGAATATGGAGGAGCAAAATCAACTTTCAAACAAAGTACAGACCATACAAATCTCTGGTAGTCTCCATTCTCTTTTATGGATGTGAAACGTGGACACTGTTGGCAGAACCATAGAGAAGGATCCAAGCATTTGAGAACAAGTGCATAAGAAAACTCCTTGGCATTTTGTATTGGGAATAAAAATCCAATTAGTTTGTGCGGAAAAGGGTTGAAAGTTTTGCGGGCCACCAGGAACCTCTTCTCGCCATTTTCAAATGGAGAAAATGGTATGGTTTAGAAACATTACAAGACACGACAGCCTGCACAAGACCATCATGCAAGGCACCGTTGAAGGTGGACATAGGAGAGGTCACCGACCTAAAAACCGGTTGGACAATGTCAAACAATGGACAGGTATGACGATATTTAGTTACCCCCCCACACACGAGGGTGTCATGTGGCACAAGGCCTTTTTAACGTGGGCAATCCCGAGCCATTAGGCTCGGCCAAAAAATAGCCCATTCGAACCCGTATAAACGGGTTCAGGGCCGGTTTTACCTCCCCGAACGAGACTCCGCCCCTCGGCGTAGCCTCTTTCGGGTTCCTCCCGCCCTAGGAAGAGAGTTGAACCGAACAGTCGCACCAGAAAGTGAGCGAGCGATGTCGCTCTGTGTGACTCTGATGGACAGGTATGACTATACCAGAATTGCTGATGACTGCCGTTGATAGACCGTTGTGGAGGAGATTTAGTGTGGCTTCTGCATTCAGATCCCCCACCACTACGATTACATGATGACGATGATGATGACGATGATGATGTATCATTAAACTATTACTATCTCTAAAAAAAATATTGACAATCTAAAAATATCTTCTGACTTTAAATAACCTGTAAAAGTTTGATAAGCCGTAAAAAAGAATTAATCAAAATAAATAAAAAAAATTGTAAATTATTCGCTTTTTTTCCACTTCGTATTTCCTTTTTCTTCTTTTTTTAAATAATTTAACCCCAATCAAGGCGACAATGCCACTAAGACACGGGGTTACTGGAAGTAGAAGAGAATAAGAAGACGTCAGTGAGGAAGCCGTACAAAGTACACGATTCCGGAAGACATGTCGATTGACATCGCATTAAAAATTTGGAAGACTAGAATCTTTTTTTTTTTTTTTTGCAACGAGCTGACGTGTGTTGAAAACCTTACAGTATTTTTGATGTTATCGCAAACATTTTTGTCATGATTTACAAACTCTACGTTTCATTCAACTTCGCAAGCCAATCGATGAAATTTGCATAAGCCGATTTATTTGGAAAATATTTTGACAAAAACCTTATTTCACGTTTTAATAATTTCTTTAATTTAATTTAATTTATAGAACTTCATGGTAACTTTTTTAAGAAAATTTCTTTTTTCTTTATAGCTGGTTCACATATTTTAATGATTTAGTAAATGTTTATAAAGTTATGAAAAAAAATTATTTTCACATTTATTTCTTTATAAATTGGTAAATGATAAATATTGCATTGCGTTAGTTTTAACTGAATTACTTTTTTAGAATATTGGAAATATAAAATTAATCTTGTAAATAAACAATTTAATAAATAATGTTTAATATTTTTGTTTTCACTTCTCAAGAACAATAAAAAAATGTATAAATTCACTTTCATGTTTCGGTTTTATTAAAATCCTAACTATCTATTAAAACAATAGAAATTGCCGACTGTTATGTAGTGGTTTCGCAGTGGAGACTTGTATTTGTACTAAGTCGCTCCTAAAACAGGTTCGACGTACAAAACGTTAGGAACTTCATATAATAGGTATTACGCAGAGTAATCTAGTTGTGGTCGCTGATACTATAGTATTCGACTAACTGTCGTACGACATCGACTGACTGAGCGACTTACTCAGCGACTGACTCGTTACTATTACTACTACTACTTATTATAGGTGGGAGAGTCTATTAACTATAGAATAGGTGTGTTCCGAGCAGTGAAGATAGTTAAAATAATAGCGGTGTCAACGGAAAAATCGTTTTTTTGACACTCTGTTGTGTTTTTCGGAAATGAAATTTCAAGTTTGCCGAAATTTTTATGCATAACATTTCATAACTCTTAAGGGCCTGATGTAGAAGCATAATTCAAATTCAATATTGCTGTCGCAATTGATTTGAGCGTCGCGACAGATTTGAAGAATGCCTGAAATAGAAAGACCAAAGTTGAAAATATGCGAAATCCAATTAAGTCATTACATGTGGCTTTCGAGTAATTAACCCGCTTGAGGAATATGTCATTTTTTATTTTCGAATATTCATCAATGAAGGAGCTATGTGCACATAATAGAAATTTTATATCGTTTCGGCCGGGCGGATTAAATTATAATTAAGCAAGTGGAAACGGCGACTCAAAATTCAAATTCCAGCCTAACCTGTTGCTTTAACTTTCGAACTAATACCCTTAGGAAAAGCATGAACACATCTTTTCTACTTCTTCCATATGCGAACGAAATAGAAAGGTAGACTGAGCTTTTTAGCTTTAAGTAGCAACCTGTGGCAAATAAGATAAGCTATAGGCTCCAAAGTGTGAAGAAGGCAGCGAGAAACCATCCTACTGTGTTTCCCAAGAAGTCATGGCGATTCACAGATTATAAACAAAGAAAAAAGAATACGTGGGGAGCCATGATCATCTACGTCTTAATGACGATAATTGCGTCAATACGTGTATTTTGCACACACGGGTATGTATATAGAAAGAGAACATCTTAATTGATTTTAGCATTTGGTTAGAAACTGTGACAACTGCATTTTCGGATGCATCTCTTTCAAAAAGATTGTTTTCTATGAACAAGCGCACGTGCGCGCTATCTTACACATTGTTTACCATTTGTCCATGCACTGAATATTGTTGTCACATCTGGTTTGGTGCTTCTACTGTGTATTTAGAGATTCTTGCTAAATCCAAAGAAGAATCTGCAATGCCCCTGACCTAACATCTTCAGTCACCTTTCTGATGCCGTAATGTAGTTTCCCTCTGCCTTTTATACAAAATATTTTCATGGTAACTTTTCTGATGAGCATTCCTTTTTGGTACCAGGATTATATTAATTTAAGCGCAGTACTACATTGGTGGCCATGTCTCATCATTTTATAGTTGAATTGTCTAGATGTAACCGTAAGTTCTATGCTGACAGGTTCTTCTATCGTACTTCTCGCTTGCGGGAATCTCTTCCTTTCCAGTCAGCTTTGATCTTCAAAAGTTTAAATGAAATGCCAAACGTTTTCTTCTGTCTTCTTAATTCCTGTTTGTTGATTGTTTTCTCTCATTAATAACATTGTTCTTTTTCTCATATTCTTTCACAATTATTAATCCCTTGCGTCTTAGTAACTTTATTGCCTTTCTTGGGAGGAAATGATTATAACGCACACACGAATACAAGCAAACAGGTACGCACGCACACACACACACACACACACACACACACATATATATATATATATATATATATATATATATATATATATATATATATATATGAATGATTTAATTTCTCATTAGCCTATACGTCAAGTGTACATATATTCGAGTAGACATCACTGTGTGTGTTTTTTCTTAGCAATAAAATCGATATCAACCAGCCTAAAAGCATTGATAGTCTTATTAAAGCCGATCTACCCATCGGCAGGCACTTAGACTGGATCCCGTTTTTTACCACAGGGAGTTTAATTTTTAGTTAACCATGATTTCACCGTTTCAGCCACTCACATTAAAGCAATGAGCTATTTAAAGAAATGCATATCTTTCGTTGGGACCTATATATTCTAGCCTTGTTTTCGTATCTGAAACATAAGGAAAGTGATTTGACATCGCATTAAAATTTTGGAAGACTAGAATCTTTTTCTTTCTTTTTTTTGCAACGAGCTGACGCGTGTTGAAAACCTTACAGTATTTTTGACGTTATCTCTAACATTTTTATCGTGATTTACAAACTCTACGTTTCGTTCAACTTTGCAAGCAAATCGATGAAATTTTCATAAGCCGATTTATTTGAAAAATACTTTGGCAAAAAAACCTTATTTCACGTTTTAGTGATTTTTCTAAAATTATCAGTTGCCATTATTTTCTAGATTTCTGGAGAAGTCACACTGTTTTAAAAAAAAAAAAAAGAAACACATTTTTTACTATATCGATCAAAAATCCCGTAACCCATGGGACTCATAGGTGAACCACAAGTACAAGTGTTTTATTGGGCTAGATTCCCTAAAGGATCCCAACCCTGTCCAGACAGATTTTGAATTCAGAGTTACCTTCTAGACTGGTTGCGATAAAACCGGTTGCTATTTACCCATATCTGGGGGAGAAGAAGGGAAAGGTATGAGTCCTTTTCTTCTGGATCCGACAGGAATTCGAACTCGGTTCTCTGATTCCTCAATCCGAGCCTCTAATCGTTAGTACACCTTGCCTCCTATTTTCTATATGTCCTTATACTAAAATGTGCTTCTTCGCGGATCATTTTACTGAAACTGCGCTCTGGGACCGATTATTTTGCTTTTGTTCAAATATTGAAAGCGAGATCGATCATTAATTAAGTAATGATCAATAACACAGGTGTGGTACATTACTCACTTGAACAAAGGCCCTTCTTGCAGACGAACCCTTCATCACAATTGGAACATCCCTCTCCAGGAGTAAACATTTCTTTCAAGTCCTTCTTCACCCTGAATTTGAAAAGAAACAAAAATATTAATTAATTTTCATGAATAATACTAGAGTCATATATATATATATATATATATAAACAGTATGGTCTAGATA